TAGAAAGTGATAGCAGGTATCTTGCCAAACCGCGTCGTCTGTCAGATCGTTGTACTGCACGTAGCGGAAGAGCAACGCGGATTCCGTTCGGGCCTAGAGGCCATACATATGATGCATCAAATGCGCGAACCTCGAAGCACTATAGCTAGTGTTGGGTAACTTAAGTTGCACGAATAAGTATGTAAGTCTAATTGAATGCTTGCACAGTGGTATGCGGGCGGTGGTGCAGCTGAGTGGACAAACCGCCGAGGACTTTGATGTTGTCTCTGGTGTGAAGCAAAGCTATGTCTTAGCTCCTGCTTTGTGTACTACTTACCTAAGTGCCATCATGTCCTTTGCTTATGATTATGGTGTCTGTGTGGAGTACTGTGTTGATCGTACGTCACTGAACAGCCATGGTTTCCGAGCGAGAACCCTGGTTTATGAGACAATCTTTCGGATGTTGATGTCTGCCGCGACTGTGCGTTGTTTGCACATAGTGCGGATGAGTTACGTGACATGACGACGACTCTCGCCTCAAGAGCGGCCAAGCTCGGACTCACCATCAACAAAAGCAAGACTATAAGTAAAATGAAAATTATACTGTTGCTCATCCCAACACCGGCACCCCAAAGAGCAACAGTATAATTTTCATTTTACTTACAGTCTTTTTGATCGGAATGGCCGAGGTCCACATCAAGTGAACCGAGGTCTCAATTGAGGTTGCTTGTAGCAACCCAGCCACCAGCGGATTCTCCAAATTCAACTTTGAAAAGCAAGACTATTTGTCTTTTCCAGCGTTCATTAGGAATCGAATCCGTGAAGTTGCTACGAATCCAGCTTGCTGGTGACGATTGGGAGACATCGGGATTTTGCTACCTTGTGAACGTACTCTCAGCAAACCTCCAGATGACGATGGAGCCACCCATCTGCGTATCGAAGGCGTGGGCTGCATTTGTTAACCTTGTTAATCGGATGTGAAGGAGTTACTAGCTGAGTGTTGGGACAAAGCTGACGTTATATAACTCGATGGTGCTATCGGTTCTCCTTTACATCAGCGAAACTTGGACGCTTTATCGGAAGGACGTCCTATATTTGGAGCGATTTCATCCACGCTGCCTGCGTCGTACTCTGCGCATCGATTGGGGTGACAGAGTTGCAGACACGGGAGTGCTCCGCCTAAGTAGCATATCTGTAGTGTGTACTGCATATGTCTGCTGCGGCACCTGAGATGGATCGGATATATCTGCCTCATGGATTTTACGAAGATATCTAAACAACTGCTATATGGAGTACTTAGCGCAGGGAGGCGGAACTTGGGTAAATCGACGCCGCAATTTTCGTTTCCGGTTCCTTCGTGTGCGTTTTCTTCTAGTCACTGTATCGATCGTACCAATAAGATGTAGTCTTCCTAAAGCACTTCACGAACTTAACAGGGAAGCAGTATGGGGAAAAATGCATGATTTCACAAACTAAAAGTTTAAAGTACGGGCTACTGGAAAGCACCCTACGTCTAAGGACGTCAAAGAAGCGTTTTCTGATAATGGAAAGTTCAATTGTTATCCAGAGACGAGGAGAGGTTTGGGGACAAAATGATACCGAGTTACTTGATGCCGGATGATCAGCGTATGAGATTTTCGTTCACAGTTAGTGTAGGGAATATATCTACGTGATGTTGCAGCTTATCGTCACAATGGCAATATATTATTGTATTAATGCATTTAAAAGTTTTAAGGGTTAGGAATCTGGATGAAGACCACTACATTTTATATACTCCTGAATACTTGGGGCTGTACACCCCAGCACTACATCATCAGCATATTTGCATCCTATAAACATGGTTGTGTAGGGAGATGTTCAATATATAAAGAAACTGCAAAAGCTGATAGGATCACTTCCTGCAGAACACTACAGTTGGCACGGAGGATTTCCTACGATTTGACTTCGTGAAGTGAGTACTCTCCATAACATAGTCACGCAACAGATTACGCACAGCGGTGTGAAAACCATTCTCGGATAGCAGGTTCGGCAACATTGACCTATCCATGCTTCCGAAGACATTCAAATAATCAAAGAAGTGAAGCCGTACGGATTTACATTTTTGATCTGATTCGGACGCTATACAATGCACAAAATATGTCACTGCATCCAATATAGAACGCTGGGGTGTATATGCAAACTTTTAGATACCGTCCGCAGGAACGGCTGTGAAAATCCATGAGATTAGCAGTTTTACGAAAACGCGCAGATGTGCACACAGTCGTATGATACTTTTGTGATCCATTTTTGGGTTTGGGGTTATTCTGGCCGCTCTTCCATAGTAATAAGACATGTGTTGGGTGTCTGTTAAATGCAGTGTGAATCAGCGCACTTTCAGAGCTAATGATTACCAGTCATTTGTATCACTACCCCTTTGTTTGCCTTTAATCTTGTGATTTCTTTGTGATCATCGCTTCGGTCGAAGGGCGTAGCTGGAATGGAGCTAAGAGAGGAGAGTAAAAGGGATGCACTTGGTACGCCGGAATTAAAGTCAGAATTCTGTTTATCCACCTTCACTTCACTGCTGTGGTTACAGACGCTCTTAGCACAGAGATGCCTCCAAAGTCTCCATAGATCACGACAGTTATGGTTACTTAGCACCCATTGGATGTATAAGTTGCTTATCCGCTTTATCTCAGACTTAATTGCTGGGCTTAAGTTCTTGACACGAGTAAACATCACATTTATAAGCTCTCTCTTCCATCCTTCAAAATCTTTTTGGCAGTGATGATGAACATCTAACTTAAGCAGTAGCATTTAAGAAACGGTTCTCAAAAAGTTGCAACTCTGACGCATATGTGTCAAGTGCAAGGTAAACTTTTCCAGCGATGAGGATTAGAAGGCACGAAACAACCTCGATTTGCATTCGATTAAATGGCCGTTTTAGCAGTCGTTGAGTATGTAAATAGTGCGCTTGCTGAATTGCACTAACATTGATTATCTTGACTTATGACACTGCCACTACGAAACTGGGGCATTCCAGGGCGGTTCAACCTGGTTGAAAAATAGCCATCGAGTTGAATAACCCCATTTTCCACATCTGTATGCAACCATCTTTCCTGTATTTACTTACTCGTTTCGCTGCATTTGGACACTGAGGTCACCGCTCTTACAAGGAAGCGGGTGCACATTAATGGAAAATATAAGTAGGGCTCGTGCTTTATCTATACAGCAACGACTGAGGTTAACCAGCATGATGCTTTCGCTTGTTTCCAACATGTTTCTGTAAGATTCATTTAATGGTTTATCGTAATCGCTTCGGCTGTCTTCGGGATACGTTTCCTTAGCCACTTTGGGTATTGTTTTGTCACGGTTTAGAAAACGCGGTAAGCATCGTTTGTTCGAAGTTCGCGTCCGCTTTGGACCAGATGTTTAAGGATGGAACTCCTGATATTTTCGACAATACCTCTCCACAGAGACCGTTTACGGTGCTCAACTATCTTTGTCGACAGACGCCTAGTCGTTTTTCCGAGGTATTTTGCACCCTGGTTGGAAGTAAATTGACACACCATGTACGATTCATACGTGACCGGTGATCTGTCCAAAACCTACGCGGTCGCCAATCCGCACGTTCTTGCGGTGACCACCCCATTTATTACTCAACGCCTTAAAGAAAGATTACTGATCAAGTCTGAATCGTACGTGGTATATCAATCTACTTGCACCTCTGGTGCAAAGTACCTCGAACATACGACTAAGCGCCTATCGGTAAGGATAGCTGAGCACTGTCATGAGTCTTTGCGGAAAGGTATTGTCGGAGGTATCAGGATTTCCACCCTTGAGCAACTGGTTCAAAGCGGGCACAAACTTCCGACCAACGATGCTTACCGTGTTTTCTACACCGTGCTAAAACAATACCCAAAGTGGCTTAGAAAACGTCTCTTGAAGATAGCCGAAGCGATTGTGATTAAGTTAACGCAACCGGAACTTTAGAAGCAGAGGATGCTTTTGATATCTCTCATTTAAAGGTGTTCCTTGCGTGGCCTTAAGAACCACGAGTCTGCCTTAGGTCACGCATTCCATTCTGTGTAGGGACCGGGCGATTCTCGCAGTACCATTAGCCCATGCGCGGTTGGTGATGATTGCGCGGCAACGAAGCGTCGTTACCACCTACCGGCGTACTGCTGGAGCCTTTGCGTAGTGACCATATTCGATGAAGCGCGGATTTTTGGCAATAACACGTAACACTCTTAGAATATTGACTGGTTGGGTATTATTGACCTTGATACTATTCCAAGAAACAAAACCGTTTCAAAAGATAAAACGTGAATTCTGTAGCCAGTAGCGCAAACGAATATTGCAACGAGAACAATTGGACATACTCTTACGGTTCTTTGGTACTTGGGTTTCCGTAACAATGTACACAGATGGCGAATAAAGACGGAGTTCTTGCAGTGTTCCACCTTGAAATCTGCGGCGTGAAAGATGCTCTACGTTTGAAAGATGGCCTTAGCTGACGTGCTTACTTTGATAATCGTTAACACAGCGGTAGGGGTTTTTTAACAGTTGCAATAATAATGACAGTCAGAAATGACAAACTTTCATCGTCAGTTTACACTTCTTGGTTTCGCGGTTTTCTTCTGTTATTCCTCATTTCTGACATTTAATTGGATTGACTGAGCCACCGACTCACTAACTCGATGTGAATACCGTCTACTTTTTTGATCGATTTGCAGTCATTCCACCATTCGTTGCGGTTCACTTAAGATCATCTCTACTTTCCGATAGCATTAGACGGCCCAGCCACGACTACCACCAACCACAGTTACGTTATTTATTGCTTGCGACTTACTGATCAATGCTCATGTGATATCAAGCAGATGCACCTATTTTTGCCGCTTCCGTTTTTCCTAACCACTCAATTTTGTCTGCTACTCCCATTCATCCTGGTATAACGTCTTTTCCTACCCAAGTAATTGTGACTTATTCCGCATCCATTTTGAAAGTATGGTTTTTAATTCACTTCCTCGGTTCCTTTATAGACAGGCTTTTTCGCATGCGGAACACGAGTCAGTAACAGATTCCGACAATGACCTGGCTCTTCGGTTACAACTGGAGGAAATGGACACCTCCGGTGGCAGGAAACCTCCGGCACGCACCCGTGGCACTGACTCTAACACGGAACCCCCTTTAGCCTCTAATCCAAGCACGTCTGCTTCCCATCGGATGCATCATCATCATCCCTTTGCTACAGTGCCTTCCCGGCGGCCTTCCACTGGAGGGGATCGAGTAAGTAGGCGATTCGTACGCAGTTCCAATTTCAGTCAAGTGATGTTTACTTGCTGATTGTTTCACTCTCCGATAGTTGCCAAGTTCTCTTCAACGCATGCTGTATTCACAGAAACTGAGTTGGGATATCAGTTCAGTTACTTAAATGAAGGCATAATATCGCGGTAATGAGTGTGGTCCGAATTTGACAACACTTGTTGTTGCCGATTATCACTTAGTGTTGTCCAGCCGAATACGGTGCGATGCGATCCACTACGACGACCGCCAGTCTAGCGTATTTAAAGTCCCATGGTTCCAGAGTGAATTGTGGTTTTCTGACGAACAGAAACAACGGGTTTTTTCATGGTTCTCTTTCACTTGTACTTTTGCCGCTAGCTATCGTCTAACTCTTTGCCATCGTTTCTTACGGGGAATGCTTCGGTAATGCATAGAGTTTCACGAACGCATCCCGCGCGATATGCGACTATCTTTCCCAACCCCCTACTAACAAATCAAACACTGTGAATCCACTTGTACGTATCGCTTGGTCTCTCGCACATAGCGTGTGTCGTTTGTGAGCCACCGCAACGCTACCGAACTTTAACGCTGTGCCATGCCTTACGTACTGCATGTTCTATTGAGTTACGTTAGATGGCGCTTTCCAGTCGCTTTCACAGTCACTCTTACCAGACAAGTCAATGGCCGGAAGTCAACCCCAGTCTCCGACGTTGGAGAGAACTCAGTTGCTTCTCCCTGCAAAACCTAGCTATAGGAAACAGCCCACAGCTCAATAAGCGTAGAGCACGAGTGCCACTCATTGTCTCTGACGGTAACAAAGCATCACCCATGGTCAAGGCTTTGTAATCGCTCCTATCAAATCAGGTGCTACTGACCCGGTTAAGTTAAACAACAACGATCCGTGCACAGAAGTGTGGTGGATCCAGTTATCACCACTCGCTTCGCCAGAGTAACAAAAACAACAATAGTCAGCATATAAGCTTGAACGCAGTCAAAACAAAAGAATGTGGAATCCATAGCGGTATGCATTAAACTAATCAGAATGGTATGAATGGGCACATCCAGATGCAGGAAACCGAATACCGGAACGCCATATCTGATATGGTCTCCAATCATTGTTGTGCACCTTCCCGGACCTCTCGTCCAAGAAGACGGTATCCACCAGCTTGACCAAGTCTCGGTCAGTTTCTTCATGCCTCTCTGCCACGTCATGGACTGTCTACCTCGCGGTTTCGCCTAGTGTGGTACATCATGCTCGTGTAATCCAAGTCGAGGAAGATAGTTGTCATATGGAACATATGACCTAATCAATGTAAGCATTTATGATTTAGCAAACACTCATGTGAGGCACTAGGTTTTTTGCCAAAAACCAGCTGGCGTACGTCAGCATTGCTCACCCGGTGCTCCCACCAGAGGTGAGCAATGCTCCCCAAGCAGCGGTGGTCAAACACAGCCAAGGGTTTAATATCTTCACTGAGAATTGGCCATATCTCCGCTCCATGCAGTAACACAAACCTAATTGCAGCGTTAAGCATTATAACTCACTAATAGGTTGATATCCTGACGTCTCCATTGATAACTGAGCCTCTGTAGAGCCACATGTATCATGCCGACACGCAAAGTAACCTTCTCAGTGATGTGACCACCAGAGGTGACACAGCTATCAAGGTTTAGTAAACCGATCCACCGCTTCAAGCGATTTTTCAGTGATCCTTAGGAGCGGTGGCCTTTCGGTCTAGCCCTGCAACAGTACCTTGTACTTTGGAGGTGCTAAGCACGTACTCAGGCGTACAGCGTTACGCACCAGTCTCTAGTAGTGTTTGTATCGTTACTGCGTCACACTTAAAGTTGTCACCTGGGAGAACGTTCACTCCGAAGAGTTGGAAAAGAAAAGGATATATAGGACAACTCTGGAGAATTCTACCTGTCGTTTGGAACTCAGCAGAGAGTTTCCCGTCGGTCGTTAGACGGCGTCGACAGTCACGGTGGAGTGAATTCAGAATGGAAAAGAGTTTGACTAGCACGTCGTTCATGGAAAGGCTGTGCTACAATCTGACACGGTCAAAAGAGTCGAAGGTGGCTTTCAAGTCATTGCATACCACCACAGTCGGTCGTCTGTAAGTGCGTCTCTGTTGCAATATATGGCGAAGAGTAACTGTGTGGTCGATGCAATCTCGACCAGGACGGAAGCCAGCGTGGTTTTCAGTGATTCTTTTTTTCACGGAAACCCGCAAGTAATCGAAGGCTGATACCTGTGTGAACTTTGTAGGCAATGAATATATGACTAATGCTTTGATGATTTTTTAGAATATGCGCCCGCTCTTCTTGAAGTTGGGCATGCCAGTTGACAACCGCCCTATGAGGGCACCTCTTCAGTGTCCCGAATTGTCTTAAATAGAGAAGCTAGTCCAGTCATCAAAGAGTCACCTCTCTCCTTCAACAAAGACAGAAGAGGATTATCGGGTACATGAGCCTCGTTTCGTTGCAACTCGGTGATCTCATATCGAATCTCTCCCAATATGTGAGGTGTGGAATCAACTTCCCACCTCGGCTCAGGTAATTAAGAACGTGGCAATGTGGTTGTACGCCTGCTGGTCGACTATTCAAAATTTTCCGCTCAACGGGCTAGTTAGCTAATCTGAGGATGGGTCAACAGTCAATCTTTCTCAGCTATTGTCTCTCTAACTGATGGCTTTCTCGAACCGTTGATCCGGATGAGCTGGAACGGCACTTGGCTCTTCCCAGTAGTATCGGCTTTCTCCATTTCACGGGCCGCTACCACCCACTAATGTTCTCGGTTGATTCGAAGGCTCCTTGTCAGACGTCATTTCGGAGTGTACGGCACGCTGAAGCTCAGCGTTCATTGGAACCTGTTTTCGCGCTTCGAGCAAGTTGGTCGGTGCCTCAGAGATCCATTCGCAGTTAGAACGTACCAAGTTGTTTGCAGACCAGGCATCATAAATATTATTCATGACACACTTGAGACGATCCAAATGAACATTTGTCCCGTCAACCTCATTCATCACTGACAATTGGTGGGTCAGTACTTTATCATGTTTTTTGAACTGCGGTCTGCGAGTTCTAGTATGAGTAGGTAGCTTGTACTTGACATGAGATCTCGCACGTTTTGCTCATGAGATCCGGAACGTAACCTAGAATGCCGCACTAGCGACGCTTTCGCCCAACTATGCATGCATTATATTCCCTATCTCAGTATCACAATCTTCCAACACAAACACCGAGATTGTATAAGATGACAACCAGCGAACGACAGATTGCTCAGACTGACCACCTCGTCATTTCAGCGTAACCCTGTTTACACCGCTTGCCCTGCCTTGATCATACCTTTGTATGTGCGCATACAACGCTTGACTGCTTTAGGACAAGCTCGCTATGTTTTATGCGGTGTTCAGTGATGCAGCATGCACTTTCCCGCGTTGACGAAGGATGAGCAATCTCGAACCCATTGAATTAAACTGTCATATTGGAACCGGGAACAAAGCGCTCTTTTGTCATTAGTGAGATGACACCATTTTCTATACTATCTCTACCGATCCCGTTGCTAGGTAACGTTTTTGGGTGTATCTCAGTATTCCATGTAATCCTCAACGGTCACTGCGTTGAGTTGCCGCGTTATTCACTCTTATCTGGTGCTTTAGAGTTACTGCACAGTTAGTCATTGGTCATGTGAATATTTTTAGTAGAATGTTTACTAGGCCTTATCGACTGAGTAACAAGTAACAGGAATGAAGTCATTTTTTGTTTCATCAATGACCACCCTTTGTCACCTCACCCACCCTCGTTTCGCGTTTTTCCAGCGCGATTGCCGGTTACTCTAATGCCACCGTCATCGTGTCTCATTTGAGGACTCCGGAGCAACCGAGAACGATCTACGGACCAAGTCGCGCTTCCTCCATTCGACTGCCACGTTCCGACGTTGTAGATTCCTTGTGATATTTCCATCTTGTGATATATCGTAACTGCTACCCTGTTTACACCTTACCCAGATTGTCGTTTCTCATGTTTTCCGCCTTCTGCAGGCAAAGAATTTTCTCGTTTCATATTTTGTTATAACCCATTGATATCATTACAGTTCCTTACTGAATATTCGGACTTAACTTCGTGCAAGGTTAACTCTCATTTCCCCTCATCGCATGCAGTGTTGTCAACAATTTTGATTCTTAACTCTTGTCTTACTTCCTGTGTTATATCTACTCTCCTTTCGATTTTCTTGTTTGTTCGTGCTTCTAATGTTCGTCTGCAGTCCGTTGTATTTTTACCATCAAGCGGAATTGTCTCGGAAAACCTATTTTCTCTCTGGGCTTCAGTTACCAAATCTCACTGTTAGTCTTTTTCTGAAAACACACCGCTTCCTGATGCCAGCCCACATGCGACCAATCAGCCGGACACATTCTGCACTGTCTCGATCTCCACCTGCCCACTCTTCTTATGGCCAACGACTTCGTTCATATTTCTTATCCTCTGTTTTTTATAAGCGTGCATTCGAAGTGGGGCATCGTGATTGCCCGGCACGCCATAAATTATTCTTTCGCAATCCAGTCTTCTGAGTTTGCTGATCGTTTGCGCCTTGTCTAGCGTTTTCATTATTTACCCCAATTAACTTTTCAGGTTACTTTTCTCCGGAAATTATTTTTGATTGTTACTTTCTGCAACCTTGGCGATTTCACAGCCTGTTTAAAACTGACGTAGGCAATTTCGCTCGAATAATGGTTTAAGCTTATCTCAAACTAGCCGCTTTGACATGACGCCGTCTCATTCCTCATTACTTTTATAGCCCAGCTTCTCGCTTGTTCTCACCTGTCATTAAAATCCCGGACTGATTTAATGATGTCTGTAGTAACAAAATTATCTGCGAACTCCTTAGTAATCACGCTCATTAAATCATCCAATCTCGCGATTCGACGGGTCACATCCGAGTGTACGTTTCTGTGGGACTTGGCCCTAATATGCTTTGGCCGCGATGGGATTAAACGTCTTCTCGGCATCATATTAAATGTCAACACTGTGGAAACGTCCGCAACTCTCCGGGGTTTTGTAAATATATACAGTTTTGTTTACACAGAGTAGACCTAGTTTGTCGAAAAGTTACGCGGCGCATTTGCCACATTGAGCTCTGAGATTCTGGTAAGCGCGTACGGTAACTTATGCTCTTCGGGACAATATTGAGAGTGAGCTCCGCCGACTACAGCGAGAGAGCACACTTGAACCCGTCCAACATTCCGACTTGGTAGTTACTATAGTCTATTAATTGAAGAGCGGTGATATCACAAGGATCTGTGAGGACTACACAGTTATGGTCAACCAGGCACTACAGCCAGATCGATTCCCGCTGCCAAAGAGTGTAGATGTCTATGCTTCCCTTCTGTGGCGAACATTTTACCAAACTAGGTCTGGGTCACGCCTACCAGCAGATCATGCGCTTGCACCACCGTCAACATACGCCTTGGGTCAACTCGCTACATACGCAAGCCTTTTGGAGGAAGATCTGCGCTGGCTAACTTCCATCGTATTATTGTCATTAGTGAACGATACGTGAAATACATACGCTTAGTTGGATGGCATCTTGATCACTGAATGCATCACTGATAAACACCTTGTCAGAGTTCGTTTAAAAAATAAAAAGTGTGAATTCTTTTCCCAAGCGTATCTTAGCTACTCACTTCATCAACTCTTACGCAAAAGTCCACATTGGAATTGGAACGGTGATCTGGCGAATGTTTTTAACGCGATAAGTGAACTCTGGGCATTCACTACTCACGGATGCCAATTGCTCTTTCTTGCGATGTTTCACTCTACGATTTTAGAGTGTTGCACAATGTACCGGACGACTCACCGACCGATTGACTATGCTTCAAGAATTCAGACGACAGCAGAATGGTATTACTCTCAGCTTGCTCGAGAGGCGGCTGTGGTTTTTTCGGTATTATTCGGTTTCATCAATATGCGCTTGATCGATATATTGCGATTTATACGAATCATAAACATTTCGTATCCGTTCTTGACCATGAAAAACGATTTCGTCGAATGACCTCGTCCAGAGTGGTCTGTTGGTCCATGATTCACTCTGCATACATGGTTGGCTGTATCCGTTTCCGGATTTGCCTGTCATTGCAGCCTCCATAGGACAGCCACAGGACGCCTACAGAGGGACCATGGGTGGCTTCCGCTGCACCACGCACAGCTCTGTCAACACACCCCATATCCAGTGTAAACCGGAAGGAATAACACCGGGAGGTAAGTAAATGGGAGCCACGTTTCACCAACGGAGCAGGCCCACATACTCCTTCAACATGCATAGCAGCATGTCTGTCTATGTGGGGGATCATGCGCACCATACGTACACAAGACGATGACTGGGCCGTACTTCGCTTCACACTGGATGCAACCACTCTTTGAGCCTAGCGCGGCCATGAGGACCGTACAACCCGTGTCCCCAGTAACGACTCACGGTCTCCTAGAGCCATTAATCGAGATGGATGGTTGGGACAGTTAGGCATCTTGTTAACATTCACATCGATCGCAGCAACACCGGGGATATCAAACAACCAATCAAGGAAAATAAAGACACAAAATTGACACGGAATATGCAACAGAATAAAAAAACTGAGCATGTCAAATAAAGTGGAATGGGTCTTTATCCAGATTGAAAAGTTTAAGTGTAACTCGGTGTTGTCCAACTGCAATAAATGGGCATGCAACATATACCTCAGTATGAGGCACTAGTATGCATACATACATACAATACGTTCATGGCCGGCAGAATACCATTGCTGATGTCCTCGGTCGCCTTCCTTACCTGGAAATGATTTCGTGAATCTGATCCAGCATCTCATTAATTCTCAGGTTATCTCAGTTGACATGCGCCGAGAAACCGATAGAGATCATTTTTTAGCGCTGCTGTACCGCTACCTTCAGTCAAACGGCCAGGAAATACAACCAAGGAACTCATGCTTTTCCGTAACATATTGCCCGAACTCCCAAACAGATGTGTGCTTTGGGGCGCACGGGCTGTATTTCTCAAGAGTCCACGATCAGTTATTCTTGATGGACTACATGATACCCATCCGGGATTCTCGGAAACGAAGTCGCTAGTGCGCTTTTATGTGTGGTGGTCTGATTTAGATGGGGTCATTGTGTAAAAATTTAGGTTTTGATCGCTTTGTCAGGGAAGTCGAAACACTGCAATCTTGTAAGTGACCGGAAGCGCTAGGGAAAGTATTCACCTAGATTTTTTCGACTCTTTCGAAGGTCAGATGATTTTGTTGATCATTGACGCCCATCCCAATTGGATGGACGCCGACGTCCTGACCACGTCAACTTCAGCTAACACAATACTTAAACTGTGCACGTCTTTTGCGATTTTTGGTCATCTGGAAATACTAATGTCGGATAATGGAACAGTATTCTCAAATGCGGCATTTTCTGCCTTATCACGAATACCACTAAACACGTAACTACTGCGCCTTGCCATCCATTATCAAATGGTTCAGCCGAGCGAGCTATGCAGACACCTAAGAATATGTTAATGACGCAACCAGCATCCCCACTGCGTGTACGTTTTGATCGTGCGCTTTTCGCTTATGGAAGCAAGGCAAACGAAACCACCGGTTGGGGCCCTGCGGTATTATTGTTCGACCGTCTGTTGCATACACGGTTGGATTTATCGCACGGTACCCTTGGGTCGTAGATTTGCATAAAACAAAAACGGGAAAAAGAAAGTTTTGATACTGATAACAAAGGCAGACTCGTAGTAGAATCTAATACCCATTTACGTCCGTTTAGCTACAAATTCCGGGTGTCAACTAGCCGGTGTAAAAGCAGCTAAAAGGCAAATCGTTGAGGCAAAAACTGTTATAATCTCACTAGACACGATTCCGAAATCGACACTTTACTGCTGCCCAAAACTTCTCGCCCAACCTTAAAAAAAGCAGAAAACCAATGACCTTGGAAAATCATCATGATTGTATGGCAGCAAAGCATCAGTTCAAGTGGCTGATATACTCCTGTTGGTGATGGTGATTCTCTTACTCCCATCCCTATCCTCATTAATAAAAATAAGAATGTGCCAGCTGTACGCCACAACAGTGTTTCGCTGCCGCGCAACCACCACCAGTCGCGCGCGGGCTGAGTATACCGTGTGAACTACCACCCCTACGCGGATCTGAACCGGGGACCTTATGGTTGTAAACCAGGTGCGCAAACCATTCGGCCACCGGTTTATCCTCATTACTAATTTTCCCAGCTTAATTTACAGCAACCGAAGTGTCACTGTTGTAATAGTCCATAATTTTGTGAGAGGGCGTGATACTACCCGGTTGCCCAAGCCGAAGTAGGGAGTTGACTTAGGGGACTCCACCCCGAGCCTTTGGCTAGATAACCTTCCCGCAAGGCAGCGGAGCGAATTTAGAGAAATGCGCTCATTGGGAGGCGTTGACTGAATGTTTAGTTCATGCGTCTTTGTTTGGTAGATTACCAAACAAGGGCCCAATACTCCCCATGAAATCAGCACAATTATTGGAATACAATGCCCCACCGAGGTGGAACATTGTTGCCCAACACTTTGCTGGAACGGGGTACACCCGAACCACCTAGCTGGCACCACGAGGAGGTAGTTCGGCAAGCCAGCCGCTGTGGCATCCGTACATCTTCTAGGATGGGGACCCAAAGATGAGGAGTGCCAATGGCTTAGCACTCTTGAAGACGGCCCGCAACTGGAGTCAGTACAGTATTGTTTAACACTACAAACATTGAAAATGACAAAAAAGAGAAGAATCGGCGTGTGAAATACAAACCAAAAGTGTTTTGTTTACTTTCTGTCAAAATCTTTCATTCTTCCTGCGGCATATTAGCTGGAGTGTGTTGCTCATCTACAACTACCATGCCACGATGATTATGACGCGATGACGGTCCCTTATCGGTTGATGCCCATGGTTTTATGTTGGCTCTTTGTCTAGTTGATAGACTGTTGGTATTACTGCTACCACTGTTGTAATCTTCTTACTGGACGCGATTCCGAAATTGACACTGCTGCTCCATAAAACTTCTAGCCCAACCGAAGGAAAAAGAAGAACACCAATGAACTTGACAAAATGACGTATTAAACGCAGCCAACAAACACTGTGCAACTACCGCGGACCTTGGCTGTATTTATAGGTCTCTTACTGACCTTCGACTTATGGAATTGGAAGCTCAACGACCAAGCTTAGTGGTTCCCCATAACTGGCCGAGATGTCAGGTGGTTGGTAGTCACGTGCAAAACTTAGAACATTCCAGAACGTTCGAAATCGATGTGCTAATCGTTAATAATCGATTAGTCGCAAAAATAATGGATTTTCCAGACAATACATACTTTCTTCTGGACACTTCCGCTTTGAGATATCGACCGAGGTATACAATGAAAGCCTAGGATTAATTTGCAGTCTTAGTGACAGTGTTCTCTGCTTGTCGGTCCATCTGCTTGGCAGAAGTGCCCGAGCACTCGGTTCAGATGTCCGTGGTCTGGATTCCTTGCTCGACTGTGAGCATTCGTCCACGGCTTCCTACGGCAAGTTGAAGCTTTCCACCAGTAGGTCGAACGCGAGGTCGGTAGGCCTTGCTTGTTCTGGTTTGCATGCGTTGCCTAGATCTGTGCGCCTACGATCACTTCATACATGACATTTCCGCGCTTG